GTGAATCGTCGAGTAAAGAATATTTTGAAAATCGATCGACAAATCGCACAGGTTTTTTAGATAAAAAATTTTTAAAGGCACTGATAGACTTGTGACAAATCAATCCTTACAATGAATTATCAGATTTCCGACACTTTTCCCCTTCCAAATGTCACCTATCGAAACATAGCCTTGGATAGACTTGATAGACTTGTGACAAATCAATCCTTACAATGAATTATCAGATTTCCGACACTTTTCCCCTTCCAAATGTCACCTATCAAAACATAGCCTTGGATCAATTGTCCAGTCTCATAAATCAAGTAATAAAGCTTTTGCATAACCATAGAAATTTTTTATTTTAGATCGACTATCAGCGTTACTGGAATACGGTTTTACCGATGAATATCGTGGAGAGAAAAGAATTTAACAAGGTGGATGATTCTTACTGATTATTTACTAAAAAAGAAGTCTAAATCAAGTTCCTTTGTTCAGACTGTTGTGCAAGTGTTGAATATCAAAGCAGTGAAAGCGATTGATGATTTGTTGAGAAAAAGCAATCCACAGGCGGTTTCCGATTATCTAGATTATAAGGTATGATTCCAGATTTGAACAAAGTATATCAAATAATAAAAAAAAACAAAAGAAATGGCAGCTCTATGAGAATCAAAGTCTAGAGGAAAGATTACGGTGACTTTCCAAATTATTCACCTTTTAGAAAACGCTCATACTTATAAACACAGACACATTTCGTTAGACATTTAGTTCATCGTCGAAGTCATTCTTAGCGGTGGACTTGACACTAATGCGATGAAAATATACAATGTGAGTCTTTATTGTGCACTTGTTTTAGAATTATGTTATCCATTTTCTACAGGACTATAAATCATCAACTGACGGGACTCGTCAATTTGAAGACGACATAATGGAGCTGTACGATTTGATCACTTGCATCCAGACAGCGACAACTTTTTTCTCTGATATTGCTAGTGCTATGTACATTGAACAGTGAGTGTTTATAGTTCTGTCCGAATATACCCCGTCTTGTTTAGCTATTTCCCTCAACAAAGCAAAGATGAGGTGGAGATGATGGTGGAAAAGCTGAAAGAATCATTTTTGGAAATGCTTTCTGAGGAGACATGGATTGATGAAAAGACAAAAGAACAAGCAAGGGAAAAGGTTTGGAAAAGAAAGAGATCAAGAAAGGAATCAAGAAAGAGATCAAGAAAGAGATCAAGAAAGAAAGCAAGAAAGAAATCAAGAAAGAGATCAAGAAAGAAATCAAGAATGCAATCAAGAATGAAACAAATTCCATTTCAGGCCTTAGCAATGCGTCAATTTGTCGGCTATAATCCTGACATTTTCAATCAGACAGCGATTTCAATAAAATATTCAACGGTAGATAAAATGACTTGACAAATAGATATAATAATTTCAGCTGGATATCCCACAAAATCTCTCAAGTTGGGAAGTTGATGTGAGAGTTGGGAAATGGCTGGCTGACAATGCTTATCAAACTTTATTTGAAAAGAATGTACTTGGGAATTTTGAATTTCTAGCGAGTAATGTGAATGCTTATTATTTGTCGAGTCAGAATACGATTGGTGAGGGAGAAATTCTTGAATTTTATTGAATTTATTGAATTTATTGAATTTGAAAAGTCTATCAAAAGAAATAGTCATAGTTTTCTTCTTTAGCGATACTACTGAATATTTTATAATATCTTGAATTCTTTTTTCAGCCATTCCTGTGGGAATCCTTCAATCTCCCTTTTTCAATGCTACTCAATCCATGTTTGCGAACTTAAAGCTAGACGAAGACTAAAGCAAATTTCAGAGCTCAAAACTACGGTGCTATAGGCACGATTATCGGTCACGAGATAACGCACGGATTTGATAACTCTGGTAAGAAGGATATTTCTAGAAAACAAAAGCAAAACCTCATAGCAAGCTATCGTTTACAGGAGCACAATACGATATGGACGGGAATTTGAGAAATTGGTGGGACAAGACGACTTTCTCAAATTTCCAAACGAAAACCCAATGCTTTGTGGATCAATATGGGTCACAACGAGTGGAAAATCTCACGCTAAAGGTGAGTTTTTTGGAAAAGTACTCAAATTTTTTACTGACTACACCAAGGCATTTCAGGTGAATGGCAACATGACTCTTGGTGAGAATATCGCTGATAATGGGGGATTTCGAGCAGCTTTAAAAGCTTTTCAAGTAGAAATTTGGAAATATTTGGAGTGAAACTTTTCTTTAGAAACTATTGCGCACAAATCAAGGTGGATCTCGGTCATCAGCACCCGAGCTACAAAAGTACACTCCATTGCAGATTTTCTTCATGAGTTATGCATATGTAAGTCGATCAAATCAAGGCAAAGAGCTAGAATATAATATAATAATATTCAATAAGCTTATAATATTCAATAAGCTAGAATATTATAAGTTCAATTCTAGAATTGGTGTGCAATTAGTCGTCCCTCGTATCTCCTCGATTCCGTGCCTGAAGATTCTCATAGTCCAAATCGAATTCGCGTCAATACTGTCATCTCAAATCAGCCCGAATTTGAGCAATTATTCAATTGTCCAAAGAATTCAAAAATGTTGGATAATCCAAAATGTACATTGTGGTAAAAAATACGGCTGAATAAATAATTATTCTTGTCAATACTGGGAAAAGAATCGCACTATAAAGTTGCTTGTGTTATGGGATTGTCAATGTTGCACCATAAACCCTTTGATAGATTTGATACTTTGACAAATTCATAACAAAATTCAAAAGTAGGCTTGATCAGAATTTGTGCAGGAGCCTTAGAAAATACAATATTCAATTGAAATGTAATTCCTATTTGCCGCTAACTTGATCAATATAAGAAGTCCAATCAAAAAATATTTGCGACATCGCTATTTTTATATGTCAGTCGCAGTAGTTCTTTTTCGACTTTCTATAAATATTCACATCTTGATTTACTAAATTTTTATGAAATTGCTTGGTGTAAAAGTGTTGCATATCCATCTTTTTCCATTTTGCGCACTTGCTTAGACCCGTTGTAGCAAAAATTGTGAAATTTTGCATTCTTTCTTTGAATCTTTACGCGCAACTACAAATTTCATTCGTTCTTTGTGCTTTCTATTGCATTTAATTCAAAAATTAACAAGTTTTAGAGATTGTCGCCTCGTCGCTCCGAAACTTCCATAAAATTCGTGCAAGATGGCGAATGATTCGGATTTGGAGCGGATTCAACGATCCGACTCGTCGATGTCACGCCAATCGGTGGCTCTTTCGTCTCTTTCGCTCACTTCGGCCGTCGTGAACACGGCAAAACCGCCGATTGTGCTCTCGATCGGCTCACGAATCATTCGATGTGGCGTTGCTGGTGAATTTGAACCGCGATATTCGATTCTCACAAAGGAACTCTGCCCTAATGCCACCATTGATCAATTGTCGACCAAAGATGGATTGAAAATTGCGGAGTCGTTGCTGAAAAGGATTTTCTTCGATATTATGACTATTGACTCACGAGGTGGACGGGTTCTCATCGTGGAATCACCATTTTGCCCAACGAATGTTCGAAATGTGCTGTGTCAGACGTTGATGGAGAAATTGGATGTGGGACAGGTCTCTTTTGCTCCATCACCTCTCATGGCCACTCTTCCGTTCAATATCCTGACCGCCTTCGTGCTGGAGGTCGGTCACAGTGAAGTTCTTGCTATGCCAATCAACGAAAACGTAACTATGATCAGTCAATGTTATTTGAGTCAAAGAACCGGTCGTGCTGTCTTCGAGCGCGCTGCTCAATTGTTACGAATTCATGCACGAGTCGAGGAAAACGGTCAACAACGAGAACTTTCCGATCAAGAATGGAGTCAGCATGGGGAGAATTTTGTAGAGAAATTCGTCGAGCAGTACGCGTTTTGTACCACCCGAACTAGAGCCACCGAAATCAAAGAAAAGGGCAACGAAGTCGTATTGCAACCCCGAACTGCTGAGGCTCGAATCCGTTTTGGCGCTTTGATGGTGATGGTTCCCGGATTTGTCCGAGAAACGGTTTTCGAAGTGTTCTTTGATGAGGATGATCCTGAGAACTTCACTGACCCATCTATTCCAAAAATGGTCCACAACGCGATTCTTCGATGTCCGATTGACATGCGTCGAAAATTCTTTGAATCCCTTCTAGTTTGTGGAGGACTTGCTCGTGCCACCGGATTTTTATCGCGGCTCAAAGAAGAGATTATTGCTATTTCTACGAAAAAGTCAACGATTTGTGGAATGGAGCCAAAATTTTTCCACTTCAAAGAAGCCAAAGCTGAGCCTATGCTTGGTTGGATTGGTGGTTCACTTCTTGCTGCGTGTCAATATAGTTTGCAAATCAGGTATCTTTTTACGTGTATATGAAAATTATCTAAATAGCGTTTTATGTTAGAGGGCTTTGTTCTACTTTAGCTTGAGCTTTTGAACTTGAACGAGCATTTGTTTCATCAAAATAAAATTATCTACCTGTTAAGCATAATTAAAAATGTATAGCTATCAAAAAAGCAGCGGATTTATAATATTTTAAATTTTAGATCAATCTCGCGAGATGACTGGAACAAAACGAAACGTGTACCCGATTGGACGGACTTCATTTCAGAAGCGGCTTAAATGGTGATAGTTGTGAAAATTGTATATTCTTGTTGATTTAGCCTTTTTTATTGTCCTTAAGTGTCCGGTTTTTATTTTCATAAGCCTTCATCATTAATGCATGTTAGTTGATCCATATGTAATTTTTTTTCTGATACGGGTTTGTTTAATATCGTCATAATTTTGAATAAATTATTTTTGCGAAAATACAGGTCCATTCCAAAGGTTGGCTGCACTTTGATTATTTACAAAAATACATTAGAACTCAAGTTGATTATCTTTTAAAAAGTGTTTTGAAATGTTTTGGAAAAAAAATCCATCTAAAAGTTATTGTTAGCTGTTCTAAATTGTTGCATAAAGTTGCATACATTACTCGTTACATTTTTTACTTTAGAATGGACGAGAACATCAGCGATTCGGAGGAGATCGGAGACAACGTGGATGTGGTTTTCGAAGACGACGAAAATGGGACTCACGAAGAACCGAACATGGACGGCGATGATGGAGTTGATGAATCCGAGGGAAAAATAATCGAAGACGATTCAACTTCGGCTCTTTACGCTCACGAGAAGGACGTCTTTTGTGTGGAAGCGAGTGGAACGCGTTGGATAGGAAGCGGTGGAGAAGATGACATGGCTCATATTTGGGACCTCAGCGCCTCTCCTACCGATCCGGTGCTTTCCATTCAACATAACGATTCCGTCGTTTCAATCGCTTTCAATTCGACAGGAACTCTCGTTGCCACTGGGGACATGTCGGGGCGAATCTTCATCACTCAACTCAGTGACTTGTCGAAACGAAGTGAAATCAGTGATTGCTCGGATATTGAGTGGATGTTCTGGCACAAGTCATCTGACATTCTGTTTGTGGGGGACTCTGATGGTTCGGCGTGGATGTGGCTCATATCACAAACCGGGATCGCACAACAAAAAGTCTATTCGTCGGGTAATGCCACTACTTCTTCCGGGCTTCTTCTGCCTGATGGCCGTCGATTGCTTGTCGGATACGATGATGGGACGCTGAAACTGTGGCAACTGCAAAATCAGACGAATTCCGGGATTACTTGTGATTCTGCAGTTCTTTCGATTGCTCACTCGGAAACGCAACCTTTGGCTGCTGTCGGAACAGCGAATGGGACTGTATATTTGCTCAATTCGACAGTGGATGCAAATCTGAGAGCGTTGAAAACTTTCGCAACAAGTGACCCCTCTCAAGCTGAAGACATGGAAACTGAAGAGACTGAACGTTCAGTTGAATGTCTGACTTTTGCAAAGAACATTCATGGATAGCGGTGGGAAGGAATGATGGAACAACGATTGTTTATGAAACCGATACACACAATACAAGGTTTACGCATACAAACGAGACCAATCAAGCGGTCGTGAAATGCTTGTGGATTGGGTACTTGTTGGCGGTTGCGTCCGTCGATGGGACAATTGTGATTTTCGATGCTCGAAGTGGGAACATTGTGAAAGAGTTGCGATGTGGCGGTGATCAAGTCCTGGATTTCAGTCTTCTTCAAGTTCAGCCACAAAAATTGATTGTCGCTTGCTCGGGTGGAGCTATTCGTTTCTTTGATTTATAGTTGTTTTAATCACTTTTGTGATACTTTGTTGATTTTGTTGAGACATTTTTGTTTTATTGTTATAAAGTAATAATCTAGAATGCTTAATGTGAATTCGACGCTAAGGTCCAGATTGAAGCCACAATGCTTCACCATTGCCTCGAGTTTTGCAACAAGGTACGATTTTTTCATTTATTAATTTGTAAAGGTAGACTCAAGATATCTCGTAAATTGGCTTTTTTCATGACTTGCCATTTTTAGCTCAACACGCGATTACTACATGGTGCTTGGAGTCTCTCCGACAGCCACACAACGTGAAATCAAAAGCGCTTACTACAGCTTGTCCAAAAAAGTAAGTTCATCATTTTATAAGTGTTTTTATTGAATTTTCTGGTAGCTTAACGTATCATTTTAGTATCATCCTGACGTTGGAGGAGGGACGGCAACTGAGGCGAAATTTGTGGAAATCAACGAAGCTTATGAGATTTTAAGAGATCCCAATAGACGCAGGTTTTTTATTAGATGTTTTCGAATCATTAATATATTTTTCAGAACTTATGATAACATTCGGACAGGCGCCAGAGGACCTAGATATACTGGTGACAATGGTTATAGTGGGGATCCGTTTCAGGTTGTTAAAAATGCGCGATCTTATAATTGATTTTAGGAATTTTATCGTCGTGCCACTCAAGGAGAATGGCAATACACGTCACAAGGGGGCCGAAGTGGTCGTCGATACACACAGGCAGAATATGAAAGAGTGGGTTGGTACAGTAATCGGTTCAGCTAAATTGTGAAATTTTGTTTTTTTAGCCCTATGAGTCCAGAGCTACCTAGTACGTGCTTTCAGATATGGGAAGAATTTCGACGACAAGCACACGCCAATGAACATCGATCTGGAGAGTGGGGATCCGCGCAGCAACGAATATGGGAAGAATTGGCAAAGAAACGAGCTGATAGATGGAGAGAATTTTCTAACAGGCACGCTGATTTCCTATGGTAATAAAACCTATTGTCCTAATTTAGATATCCCAATGGACCTCCTGGTGGCTTTCAATGGCAATGGAGCTGGGGACCTGGTTAGATTAAAAAGCATTCAATTGATTTCTTTATCTTTAGATAGCAACGAAAATCAACAAGCCCGACATGAGAAAGCAATTGAACGAAGGGAGTTCATTCGAAAACTCGTTCTTGCCTACACGGTAGTCTTCGCGGTTGTGGTCTTCATTCAAACGCTCATGCACATTGGGTAGGTTTTTGTGGATCTTTATCACTGGATCTTATACATATCTTAAAGCATTGAAAAGGACAAGTTTTAGAAATGATGGTCGGCATCAGCACAACGGCAGAAATAAACCAAATGCTGATGCGCAAGAGAAAGGAACCGTAGTGAGTTGGATATTAAAATTTTGACTGCTATTTCGATTTTGAAACATCTTACTTCAATTTTAACTTTAGTCGAGAAGTGTTCACGATCAAATTGAGCAGATGATGAGAGAAACGCCTGGAGCTCAAGCAGTGTTAGTTTTGAACTTATGGCTAAACATTGTCACGATACAGTTTAACACATTTTTAGATGGCAACCGAACGCTTATGGTGAACAAGGTGCTTATCAAGTTGATCCGTTGAGGCCATCATCGTCACCTTATCCATATCCATCCGATCTGCAAACAAATGAGGTCTCCGATCGTCTTCCACATGGCTTCCCGTCATCTCAGCAAGCTTTTAAGTAACAGGTATGTAGGTAGGATTTTTACTAGGCTTTTCGATCGTTTTATGTGCGTACTTTCTGTGAATGACTTTTGAACTAGGTAGGTTAAGCCTCGTTTTTTCTAGTCTTTGTGATTATAGTTGCGTATTCGATTTGAGATTTGGGTCAATAAAATTTATTGGAAATTCACAGTTTAGATTTTGTTAGTAAACACGGAATTAATCATGTGGCGATGATCGGCCGCTTTGAAAAATGAAATGGTGAAAAGGCTACGGTTTCTCGATGATTAGCTACAAGTTGTGAAATTTCCCGCAAAAGAATTTTTCTTCAAATAAAACCCCTCGAATCGTTGATTTGATCAGAGTTTCGAGAGGTGGTGGATGGTCGGTTTGAGTGTGGGTAATTCGTTTCCTCTTTTTTTTTTACTTTTCTCACTTCACGTGCTTGTTTGTGGTTTTCCTCTGGTCACGCACGCTCGGCAAATATTTACGCCCGGTGCCGACCCTTTCCAAATAGATGAAAGAGGAGCACAAATTTTTGGAATTCACTTCTCAATCCCCGTCCATCCGATCGTCGATCTTTTACTACTTACACAAAGCTCTAAAAATGTTCTGACTTTTCTTCTAAAGTAGAGATTTGAAAGCCTTTTTTCGAATAAAATGAATCCACTGATCTCATGTCAAAAATTCCTGCCTTCTTCTGAACATTTTCCCTTGATTTTGAATCGGCGATCAAAATAGAGTCGATGCGGGAGAAAAACACTCCTTGTCACAGCCATCAATTTATCAAATTTTCGCGGTAACCACCCCGCCAAACAGCTGATATTTTTTGCGGAAAAAAAACGCCCAGCTTCTCTGGCCGAAAAGGAGTAAAGAAGACGCTTTTTGATAAGTGAATTTTGTTTTTCTTCTTTCTCCTTTCTTCAGTCATAGAATTTCCTTCTCAAAACAACAGGTTTATTTGATTTTAATCCCGAACATGATCACCAGCAGTCACACAATGAAAACCGTCAAACCGAAGCCGAACCAAATACTTGTTTTGTTGAGCAGCTTTTTCACTGCCGCTTCTTTTCACTCGCCCATTTTTCTCTATTTTTCATGAGAAGCCTCTCGTCGAGAGTTCCCATTTTCAATGGTTCTGCAATACAATAGAGTTAAAAGAATCGAAAGCGGGGGAAATAAATCAAGGTCATTGTCCTCTTTTCTGAAAAAATACTCACTCCGTTTTCATTTCCATTCGCATTGGGGGGAAAAAAATTGATCCTTTTTAGATTTTCGAATCGATTCCCATATCCATTATCGTGTCAGTATTGCTTTTGAAAGAAATCGCGAACGATTCATTTCGAATTTCGGTTTGGAATAGGTGGCTCGAGCTTTTTGAGCGAGGATTGAAAGCGGAAAACTGAATATTTGAAGATTTCCGCCGTTTTACAAGCTCTTCAATCAACATTATAGATTGTAAATTTTGTGAATTATAGGGAAAGCTCGGAAGACTCGTTTTTCCCGTTTATTTGTTTCCCCAATTGCTCGTTTCGTTTTCCCTTTCACAAATGGTAAAAAAAACCCCTTTGAATAGGCTTCCCTTCTCAGCTTTCACTTGTCACTTTTTGCCAAAACTCCAAAAAGTCTTTCTCACGAAATATGTAAATGTTCTCATCTATTCCGAATCTATTTCCATGTTTTCATTTGATTTTTCAATGGTTATGAATGGAAATCCTTTTACAGATGATCTCAGAAAGTATAAAACCGCTGCGAATATCGCCTGTGATGCTTGCCCTATTGCATATCGCAATGTCACAGTACTTCTACAACGAGATTCCAGGTGAGTGCTTAAAAATAACTAAATAATCACTAAATTCTAATGAAAAAGCACTCCCATAATTTTCAGCTGATTCAATCGATTTGCCCGTTCCGAGCCGTTTCGCTTCTCACCCGATTCCTTTTCCAATTCTTTCTGCTCACAATCTACTCTACCTTGTCCCGATCGCTATTTTCCTCCTAATTCACACCAAAGCCATCCCCGAGATTCAGCCGAGAATTCGATAGAAGTCACGGCTTTGTGAGGGTTTTTCTTTTGCCAAAGTACGAGTTTTCGACGGGTTTCTCTTTCCGTGTGTCTATGTAAATCACAAATTTTTCATCGGGTTTTCCTCTTTGGTAGCTTCCATGTAAAAACGTAATTTATTGAATAAACTTTGAAAGTCTATCACAAAAACAGTCAACAAACAACATGAAACTTAACAATAACAGTAACAGAAAAACAACATGAAACTTAACAATAACAGTAACAGTAAAAATGATAACAGAACTAACGACGCTTTTTAAATCCTTTCGGTTTCTTGATCTTCTTTCGAATTTTCTTGTTGACCTCATCTTCACCACCTTCTTCCAGCATTTCGGCAAACTAAACACAAGGTTGATTTCGTAAATTTGAAGAGGAATGATGTGTCCTCCAGACAAAATTATACCCGATCAGCCGAAACAAACGCATCCGCATCACCAAAGTCTTCGTCATCGGACTCATCATCCATGCCACCCTAAACATGTATTTACAGTATAGAGCCTGCAAATATGTAACTTCTACATTTGAAAACAACAATAAAAATAATGGCACCTTTTTCTTGCTAGTTTTTCGAGAGAAAAGACCACCATCATCTTCCTCATCACTTTCGTCGCCTTCCATTTCGACATCCTCATCATCCCAGTCATCCTATTAGAAAATTGGAAAAAATAAATTGACTTTCCAGCGCACCTCATCTTCATCCTCAACATCATCTTCGTCTCCACCATCTTCATCTTCACTCAGTCCATCCTCGAGTAGATCATCGTCTTCGCCATCGGATTCTTCGGCTTTACGCTTTTGTGGTTTCTGGAAGGCAACATTCCAATGACAGCTACTTTTTTCTTACCTCTTTACGTTTTTCTCAACCGAAAATTCATTCTTGAAGTCAATATCGAATTCATCGTTAGCTTCTCCTGGTTCAAGTCGTTCCTAAAATACATAGGAAGACATTTGATTACCGTAAAACCAACTTACCAAGCAAACGATCCATTTCCTCGCTGTTAACACTTCCAATCTCATCCCAATCTTCGTCTTTGGTCTTATCAGCTTCCTAAATTTTGAGTTATACTTAAAGTTAACTAAAGTCGATACTTTTGGTTGAAATTTGAGTGTAGCAAAGCGATGCAGGAAGCGTTCATCTGCGGGAATTTCTTCTTGTTTTTTCATCAAATACTCCTGAACCAAAAAAAGTTAATAAACTATAGAGAAAGCAAACCCGAGAAGCGATCTTCAACTTTTTGACACCCCATGGATCGTAAACTTTTCTTCGCTAAATTTAAATTTATTTTTTCAATTCCTTTAGCAAACTTACAATAATCTTTGTGGAAGTGATAGCTTTCCTATCTTTTGGATTTTGTAGACAAATCGATCAAGGAATCGAATCGAAGTAAAATCTTCAAGTGGATCCCCGTTGTATCTTATAGCTTTACCCTAAACAAATAAAGATTCTAGAAAAGCAAACATCAAACCTTTAGAATATTGTTTGCAAAAATTGCGATAGACGGATGGTAATGCTTCGACAAAAGAACGAGCTCAGTATCCACGTAGTCATTTGCCGCTACAAACAGAGGATTTCTCGCCTCACTCGAGTAAATGGAAATCGCTCCACGATGTGCTAAAAAGATTAAATTGACTTAATGTATGTCAAGAGGTCGCATCATATAAAACAAACCTTGATTGTTTTTATGGACCCATCCTTGACCATTTTTACCGCCGCCAGCCTTTTGAAGTTTATCCTTGTCAGGTTTCACATCATTTTCTACTTCTTTTTTAACAATCTCCGACTTCTGAAAAAGATATTTGAGTAAAGAAAGACGTGCTTACAATTGGTTTAATCGGCTTCCCTTCATCGTCCAAATCTACGTAGATTTCTTCATCATCATCCTCATTGACTGCTGTCGCAGCAGATTTTGGAGATTGAAGTTCTGCCATCTGAATAAACATGCTAACAGTCTAGGGTAAATTGACATACGGATGATAACCGTTTCAGCATTATCACATTAGGACGTTCCTCGGCCAACTTCGAAACCAAAACGAGAATTCCGGCAGCAAAAGGAGCAGAATCATTCACAGCAACCTGCAAATTAAAATTGAAATGCAAAACATGTTTATTTTAACTTAGTAAAAAGTCTATACCTGCAATAATCGTTTCACCATAGCACGAACACGAGTTTCCATTGTGTCGGCTTTCATCGTCTTGAAAAGTAGGCTTAAAAATTGTCGAAACATTTTCGCGGGAACTTGATCAAAAAAGCTTCCGATACAGTGCCGAATAATAGCGATCGGAAAATGAATCACTAAAAATTATCTCAATTAAATAAAAGAAATTTCAAAACGAAACCTAAGCTCAAGAACTTGAAAGAGCAGCTTCAGGGTTTGCAAAGAAACAGTGAAAGTTGACGTGTGCATCAATTTGTATAAAGTGTCGATGTCCGAAACAAGGGATTCGGCTTTGGCTAAAAAACTTCTCTCTTTCCGTTTAATAACTGTTCTTTTATGCTTATGGCGTCATCTAAAAACTTTTTCTATATAACAATACTAACCTTTTGCAAAAGGAAAAGCTCGATTTGAAGCCGTCAATAAAATGCGCAAAAGTCTTGGTTCTGTCTTTTCCGAGCCACCAAAGTTTTGAAGAGTCCGAAGTAGATCGAAAGCACTTGAACAGCCAATTCTGGATCATGACGACTAAAGATAAGATTCAATAGAGTCGATTAGCTTAACAAGCACAAACCTAAATGGTAATTGTGAAAGAAAGGTTGCCGCATAAAGGTGTCCTCGATCGTTGATATTCTTTCTAAAGTTTTTGGCATTCTTTTCAATTCAAGAATTTCCTAACCTGTAAACTAGTCGCTCAACCTCAGTAACGACCACTTGTTTCATAGCGGGCTGTCTTGCACAAACACCTTCTAACAAATGAGCAATTCGAGCACCGACCTTAAACAAAAAAATATATGCAAGTACAAAATAGTTGACTAATACTTTGTAATTTGGATGTCCCAACTTGTTGACAAGACTGGTGAGAAGTTGCTAAAGACAAATATACTTTTACAATCTTGCTACTTACCGCCTCAGCTTCTGGCCTTTCTGCCAATAGGTTGGAAATAATTTTAACTGAGCGAAGAATTGCGGTTTCAACTGCTCCATTTGCCAATAGCTAAATTTGGCAATGTTGGTGATGTTGTCAAGACGCTCCTACTTCAAGACTTTTAATAAAAGACGCATAAATCTTCTTGAGCTCATGCTCGAACATCCACAAGACCAAGATTCGTTTTCGTCCTTGTTCACTACCAGAAGCAATTTCGTTTAGTCGAGCCAGTGGGCGCTAAAACAAAAGTTTGCTATAAATATTCCCAGTGACTTTTTAAAAATATCGAAGCTACAACCAACCATTTCAAATGAAATCAACTTCCTCGTCTCGGGCAACAATTCGTCAATCAAAATCTTTTCCAAGAGAGCTAGAATATACTATAGAAAAGAAAAGTAAGTATTACAAACGCATAGTCTCCATCGATTGCCGGATATTCTGCTTCTCGCACTGTCGAACCAGTTCACTGATGAAAGATATCCCATGGACAGGACTCTGAATAAAGATCGGTCTTTAGAATTTGATAAGTAGAAACTTTTGTGATTTGCAGTTGCATAGCTGTCATTCGATCGCCGGACGTTCCTTTCGAAACCACAGTCTGTAACCATGCCGCTTCAGACCCGCCTTGTGACCTCATCACTAAACGTACTTTGTTAGAGTCAACAAACTGCCACCGTACATTGATTGTAGAGATAAACATCGTTTTGTAAAAGCATGTGTGCCTCATCAAATATTTCTTTAAACTTTTCAGTTGGAAGAGTCGAGTCGTCCGCTCCGAGCCTTTCGTTTATCTAAAGTAATCTGCATAATTGCTATTCCATGCGTTAAAATTTCTTTTAAAGTCTGAGAACGCACCTGATAATCATACCATTTGGCATTTTCCTGGTGTTTCACAAAAGGAAACTGCTTCTTTGGTACTTTTGGTTTATTGTTTTTCTCGGTCGGTTTTCCATTTGTTTCGCTTCTTCTACCAGTATGGCTCTTCTGGGGGGCCGTCTAATAAATAAATAAACTCAACTTCGGCTCGAAAAAAAAATACCTCCGAAGCCTGATCGGCTTTCTTTATGCGTTCTTTCATCTACCACTGAAAAGTTGAACTTCAACTATTTTTTCTTTACACAAACTTGAGATAGACATCAGAACTTTCACCATTGCTCATTCACTTTCCCACTTTACAAAATGCAAACTTTATTGAAACGTAAACTTTAAAGGAACAAATACAAGTTTAATTTATCACAAAACCTGTAATTTATACACGTATATCCAGTGCAGAAGTAAACAAACAAAGTTTTAAGATTAACGTGACAAAAGACGCTCGAAATAGCTGCTGGCAAAAGTCTCACTCTCAGCGGTGATGTTCAGAACTGGGTCAATTGGAGGCTTAACAAAGCTTTATATAATACTTGAAAAATCACATACCAAACAAGCTGCTTCTCCGCCAAGAATTAATTGCTTTGATTCATCATAGCTTTGGGCAACGGCCAAGCCACTCAATCCATAACAAGTATGGTAGAGATCTCTTGGTCGATCGGGCTTATCACGAAATCCTCCACGTGGATCCTAAACAAAATTTTAATTTTTAAGTATGTTAGAGATCCTAAACATTCCCAAAAAGATGAATTAAATATGGGTTGTACCTGGCAGCAAATCAACAAATATTCTTCCAAAGCACGCGTATCAAATGCAAGGCCAAGTGTGGGCTGTTCCTCCCTAAAAAGAATTATACCAGTTATTCAAACTATTAACTAACTTTTCCAATTCCATATCGATGAGTCGAAAAACAGCACCTTGCCAAAAGCTGTAACAGGCATCCACCAACTTGTTGCTTCTACCCTAAAATAATCAAAAGATTTGATGTTTGTGATATGCCTTACACAAAAGCCGCCCTCAAAGCGCATCTGACGATTTGAAAGCCACTTCAGCAAACTATCCTTTTCGGCTAATCTAAAATATAAACTAGTGCCAATAAACATTTAAGAAAATCACTTTGCTTTTCCAAGAATAGTCAGAGCTCCCATTGCACAAAATGTGTAGCCGCCATGAGCTTCGGTTCCGGGTTCACCACCGAAGCCACCTTCATAAGTTTGACAGCTAAATCACGAGCATAAATTTTATCCCAAAAACGTTAGAAAACAAATATATTTAAACATGCCTGATAATCCATTCAGGTGTATTTTCAATCATTGACTGATCGAGAATTTTCGTCAACTTTGCGACAGCCAAAGCGCAATAGACTCCTAAAGTAGCAAATACCCTGATGCAATAGATCAAACCCAGTTACGAACCTCGCATATCAACTTCTCCTCCTGTATGCATAATGTAGCTTCCGTCGGTTTGGTGCACAGAGCGCAAAAAGTTGGCCAGAGTTTCTCTAATATATACATATATATATTTGGTTACTAAATCGTTTCCTAACCGATTGATCGAAGCCAATGCTTCTTCACAACGCAGAGTTGCCAACGCAAGTACGGCAGCATATGTAGGAGCCAAATGTGGAATTTGACCAGGACCACCTAAAAAACCGTTTATACTATAAATTTAATCTAGTATATACCTCCATATCCGCCTTCAGGTGATTCACATGTCTTCAAAAAAGTGACAATCTTGCTCTTCATATCATGGGAGAACGTGTGGTTCAGTAAATTCAGCGAGTGCACGCTCCAATAGCACAACCAAGGTCTCGACGCGTCCAAATACTAAAAAAAGAAAATTCTAAAGAACACTTCTGTTGCTTACCGTTGGACATTTGGACAGATCAGCAAATGTGTAAGCTAAATGATGATCCCGATCGAAGAATGGCTAAAAAGGTCTAGTTGGAATTCAACCTGCATTGGTCTGACTATAAATCACACCAACCATTTTCCACTCTTTTTCGTCTTCTTTTGGGCCTAACTTTTGAGCCTCGTCTTGGCACATGTCTTCTACACGAATCTAAAAGTTAAAGATTGTAACTAATTCCTTATTTCAAAAGATACCTGAGAAGCAAGCGTCGGTGTCGTGCGCTCTTCGATGCAAAGTTGGAATTTCTCTTGAAACGAACGAAATAGCACATTAGCGTTCATTTTCTTAAAAGAACACTTGAAACTTTAAAAGCACACAAAATCATTTTATAAAAAGAACATGTAGGTAAAATACTCGATACAACGGCTTTAACTTCAAAGGCTACAGAGATCAAATATTTATTAGCGATCACATCGAGCAAATAACAATAAAACGAAATTTACAAAAAACCCTTTTTTTTTGCGCAAGGAAAATGGGCGTTCCCCGATGCCGCGGCAATGATCGATGCACCAACTTCATGGCATACCACGCATTTCTAAAAAACACATACTATCATAAAAACATACTAGTTCTAAACTTACATTTTTCCATGATTGATTGATAACCTCTTCTAAATGTGTAAGCTCTCCTCCATGTAAAAAAACCTTTGGTAGATGCAAGACACAATCACCATGTAGCCAAACGTCTATTAGGAACTCATCTTTCTTTGAAATCTACAAAACAATATTTAAATGTTGAAGCAAAAAAATTTATACCTTTGCTGGTTTTTTGATCAGAAAATTGGGCCAATGATCCGGGTTTTGATACGTACATAATAGGGTCCAAAAAGATCGCCAAGGTCGTCCACATTTGATCGTTGCGAGCAAGCAGCACACTTGAATTGAGAGCAGAGAGCATCGTTTCGAAGTTCAAGCTAAATCTTTATTATATTACTGCATATAAAATTGCGTAGCTGTTACCACTATTTTTAACCTTACCTGATACTGTTTGCTCACATGCCTCTCCTCCGCCTGCAAGATGATCTTATTATGCGAAGCAGAGTTTTCGACGGAAACCTAAATGAATAATAAATTAGTGACTTCGTTAAGTTTCTACCTTCTGTTTATCGTCTTTCACCTTGAATTTGAGCACGGCTCCATCATCTTCTTTCTTCTTCTGTTTCGCGAACTTTTCGGCAAGTTTCTTGGTGAGGTGACGATCTTCGGCAACTAAATAAAATAGTAAGTGTTTTTAGGTTAAAAGCAAATTAAAAATCAACAACTTCATGAACAAACTAGTAACTACCAATAGCACCAAGTTTCTCTAGCTAAAATCAAAATTTCAAACTTACATTTCTCGTCGATTTTCTTCTTTTTTTGCTGGCGATCTTCTTTTTCTTCTTTATAGCAGGCTTCTTTTCGGAGTTGATTTTCATGATCTAAAATTAAAATTACATAAAAACTTTAGAAATTGATAAAAGATAAATTGATGCTGCCGTACTCAAAGATGAAAACAAGAAAAAAAACCCGGATATGTAACTCCAAAAACCTGCACAAATTACCGTAACAGTAGGGGCGAATTTCAAAAACAGAAAAATGGCTAAAAGGGGGGCACAGAAAGGGGAAAAGAGAGAACTTTTTACAAAGGGTTTGGAGAAAAGTAAGAGCATCGAAGATTTTTCAATTTTTGTTTATCAACACTCTTGTGGCTCAAGCTTAGACTTGACTATCGAGATTTCGATAAGTTTATTGATAGTGGTAAAACTTCAGTTGATTCTCCGTCAAATCCTTTTAACTGAGGCTTATTTTGGGGTAATTCGATGCGCTGAATACAATTGTCGATATTCCATACCTGGGTTTTTACAATTTTTAAAGATTTTGAAAACTTATCGAGATCTCGATATCGATAAGCTCTCGATAGTCAAGTCTTGGCTCGCGACGGAAACCTTCATTACATAACGTTTTTCTTTGATGCGAGCACATCTACGCGTCAACTGAATATCAAATGTAGCTAAAAAAGCTATAAAACAAACTCGTCTTGCCCAATTTTGTCTTTTTGCCCCTACAAAGTTTTTCACCGATTTTTAATCTCTTATCTACCTAACCTTGTTTCAAAACTTTGTGCTTTATCTTTCCTCTTAAAATTGTTTTTGTTCCAGAAATGGCGAGCGAAAACTTGATGCAGCTGGCTCAAATTCTCAACGCGACCTTGGAGTTGGATGCTTCCGTCCGGAAAGCCGCCGAACAACAGCTTTTGGGGCTCGAAATGCAACAAGGTATGACTTTTTTACATCAATTTTAACGTTTCGAAACTTTTGGAACAGGTTAATTAATGCATTTTTCAGGTTTTGGGGGTAATGTTAATCGAGTTGGTGGTGAATAATGAGGCGCCAGCCGAGATTCGTATAGCTGCCGCTGTGGCTCTCAAGAACTTTGTGAAAAGATTATGGGTAACTCTTTGTTTATAATGCTAAAATCCGTTTTTTTTTTCCTTTAGAGTGATCACGTTGAACAAGAACTACCAGAAACCGAGCAGAAGACGATTCGAACGGCCGCTTTGCAGGCAATGCTCGCTAGTCAAGGAAATATCCGAAGTCAACTTTCGCATACAGTCTATCTGATGGCTAAGGTACCTTTGGTTTATTGTATTAATTTAATCAACAATGTTTTTAGAAAGATTTCCCTGAACGATGGCCCGATTTGGTTTCTTCGCTCGCCGTTCTGTTAACACAAGATGATTTCGACAAAATTGTTGCAACACTTTCCACTTTAGATCAATTGTTTGAAAAATACAGGTAAATTAATTTGCATTGCCGCATTTTATAGCTCGACGTTCGGTGCATGAGATAGATATTTTTAGGCATGAAAGCAAGTCAACCGAACTTTGGACCGAATTAAAGATCTGTTTGATTGCCACTCAGGAACCGCTAACGACACTTTTTATCAAGATGGCTGCGTTTATTCCTCAAAGGGAACAGATGAACGTGAAAGACGTGGGATCTTGGTTAGAGGTTAGCCATCTATTTGTCTTTCATTTTTATCAAAAATTTTTCTAGATTCTTCTCTTCATTTCTCACATTTACCATTCGTTGATCAGCCAAGATCTACCGGAATTTTTTGAAGACAGCCTGGGCCCTTGGATGGACGGCTTTTTTAAAACTTCTCACCATCACCGAAGACAGAATTACTAGCGCTGCCGGGGAACCCACAGCTCTTGACAAAATCAAAGTACAGTTGACTTGCGTATATGCCATTTGCAGCTGTATTTTAGTCTGAAATCTGCACAACTGTCACATTGTATGCACAACGATACGAAGAAGAGATTCGACCGTATATGGAACCGTTTACGCAAGCGATTTGGAATCTTCTGGTGCAAACCGGCGTTGAAACAAGGTGAATATTCATTTGCTTATTTTTATTATCTCTTTTAGGTATGATGGTATGGTCTGTGCGGCTTTGGATTTTCTGTCAGCAATCAGCGAGCGCCCTCAATATGAATCGATGTTCCAAAGTGAAGAAGTTCTCAAAACAATCGCAATCGATGTGGCTGTCAAAAACCTTCGTTTGAGGTACATATTTATTGTGTTTGATAATTTATTCGTTCTTTTTAGGGAGGAGGATATCGAGATGTTTGAGGATGAGCCACTTGAGTATATGAAAAAGGATATTGAAGGTGGATAAATTTTGTAGTTTCTCATGACGTTTTATAATTTTTAGGGACGGATACGGGAACCCGGCGAAGAGGTGGAATTGACCTCGTTCGGAGTCTCTGCAAAAGATTTGAACCACAAATTGCGGCCATTCTATCACAGGTAAAATCAATTTCTGTATAATTTGCTGTTTTTAATTTAGGAGATTGCATCTAAAAGCGGCAACAACAATTGGTATGAGAAAGATGTAATTTATTGTCTGGTCACTGCTATGGCATCAAAGGGAGAAACTCATAAAAGTGGAGCAACTAACACGAGTACGCTGGTAGCTAACGCACCGTTGATTTTATTTAAAGGGTCTTCAGATTGATATTCCCCAATATTACCGCAGCAACGTACATTCTGATTTGGTCACCGATATCAATTCAAATGCGATTTTGAAAGCTGATGCAATCAAGTAAGTTCAGCACTGGATATTAATCTTTATAAGTATTTAGGTTCTTGGTTACATTCCGCAATCAAATTGCGCCCGAGGACATCGTTGCATCAATTAATGTGTTGTTGGCACTCTTGGGCAGTACCAAAACACAGGTAACAAGTTTTGTTAGACTCTCAACGATAGACTTTAGGTGCATAAATATGCTGCCTGGGCTTTGGAGCGGTTACTTATCATGAGAATCAACGGGGTCAGCTTATTGTTTTGCTGTTATGCGTCAATATCTGTTTAGCAGCCAATCTTTTCATCGGCGAACGTCCAAGTGGCGCCACTTCTAACAGCACTTGTTAGCTGTTTTGATTCTGATCCAAAGGCCGAAATGTCTCCTTATTTGATTAAGGCATTGATGAGAGTCGTTGGCGTAATGGATGTAAGATTTAACGCTTTGTAGCCGTATTGTTCTTAAATCAGAAAATATATGCTTGTTAAGGCTTCAACGGCGTCGGCTGGTGGACAAATAGCTGCTCGTCTAGTGACAATGGTTGAGACGGCGATCAAGAATCAAGCAAACCCAGTTCATACCCATTTCCTCTTTGAAACAATGTGCATCCTGATTAAAAAAGTAATTTTTGTTTTAACCGAAATTCAAAGTAAACTAATAGTTAGCTGTTGATTTAAAAGTTTATGTGTTTAGGCTTCTTCTCATGTTGCTGGCGGTCTAGATTCATCGTTATTACCGCTTGTTGAAACAATATTGGCCCAAAATCTCGAAGATTTAATTCCATATGCTCTACAAATAACAGGTAAATAAATGACCAAAATCATCTAATTGTAAATCTGATCTGTCCTAGGCGTCTTGCTACTGACTTGCATCACTCGGGATGCACCCAAGGATGCGTACTTCGGATTTTTGGGATTTCTCTTGCGACCCGAGCTATGGGCGAGGTAATTTTTTTGCTTAATTTATCTTTACTTTGTTTTTAGATCTTCGAATGTCCCCGCAGCCTTGTATTTGATTGAAATCTACTTGAAGGCAGCACCTGAGCGAGTCATGAACGAGCATGGAACGACTATCTTTGCCCAATACACTAGGTTTTCACTCAAGTAGTTAGTTTAACAACGTTGTTTACAGACTGATTGCTTCTAAAAATCTTGACAAGTATGGTTTTCAGCTAGCCTTTGCTGTGTTGCCGAGCATGGAAGTATGTTTTTATTGTTCTGGAAAGTATTCAACTAATTGATTTAGTTTGCCAATGGGGTGACTGAACCCTACGCCGTGCTTTTCAATAACATGCTCAAACGTCTGCAGGTTGTTTAAACGCAGAGCTTTATCATTAAATAATTCACATTTAGGGTAGTCGAACACCTAGCTTTGCAAAGAACTTTTTGATTTTTCTTGCCAAGTTTGCCATTATTCTTAATGCTCCTACTTTGGCTCGGGTAAGTCGAAATTTAAAAGATTTTTATAGCTTGAAATCTATTGTTAATTTAGGCTCTTGAATCAATTCAATCTGGCCTCTTTTCAATGATTATGCAACGTGTTGCCGGTCCTGGTTTTGAAGAGTTCAAGTGGGGTGTTTTACTCATTAATTCAGCTATTTTTATTTTTAGGAATCTGACAACAACCGAAGAAAAGCGGACAATTGCCATAGGATACGGAACAATTTTCAGAGACTGCTCACAAATGTTAGGGTTTGTTGGTCATTTATTGATTGGTTCATTGGTGTCATCATTTAGAGAATCGCGAATTCCACTCGCTCAAAGCGTACTTCAACTTTTGGAGGCGCCAGCTGTGACAGCAAATTTTGGTTTAACGATAGAAGATGAGCAGGTTTGAATTTCTCATTATTTACAAGAATTAAATTATCAATTGAATCTGCATTTGCTGAAACTTTGTATGTAGGTGTCAATGTACAATGCCGAAGGAGAATTTGTGAATCCCTTCAGCAAATTGGCCTCCGCCGGAAAGGAAGACGTGTTGGCGCCTAACATTTCGGATCACAAAGGTTTGTTGTCGTTACTCGCTTTTTAATTTAACCATTTTCTTTTTTTAGGCTTTTTCACCGAGTGCATGAGGGTCTAGGATTAAACGATTTCGGACGTTACTTTTATGATTATATATGTTGTTTATTTTGATCGGTTCTCTCGGTTTTAACATTTCCCGGTTAACTTTTATTAAATTGTTTTGAAGTCGTTAAATCTTTTGTTTTACGTGTATCGTTCTGTACCCCGGGTAACTTATTGTGGTCTCCCTATAGATTATTTTCATTTTAACAGTTGTTTTAACTTTTACTCTTCATTTAAAGTCAATAAATACGTCCCAAAAAGCTGTTCCGACGATGTAAATGTTTTGCGAATTGTTGGTTTAGAATTTAAAGCAAAGTTTGGGTTTTGAAAATCCAATTACGTCAACGGTTATGCTCAACAAAAAGGGTCAGCTGGAAAGAAACTGTGTGACGATCATGGACAATAGCTTTAGAGAGGTCAAAATAAGAAAATGCAAGAGTTCTTCAACGAACAAAGAAATTTCGCACCAGAAGGGTTCTTCTTGTCTTCAAACAATCCGATTATTGCTCAATATGATGAGAATACAGAGAGTGAGAAAGTGAGACCCCAAAAAAAGAGGAGGAAAAGGGGCTTTCTGTGTCTGTGTGACTTTTGCGAGTAAATCCCTTTGTCACAATGGATTTTCCAAAAGGAGAAAGAGACACAAAAAAGGTGTCTAATCGGAGGAGTGAAACGATCAAAAGAAAACAGAAGAGTATAAATAGGGATGCAATGGTTGAGGAGAACATCTAACAACTTCTCACTTCACTTCAACTACAGCTTCAGTTGAATATCTTCTTCTTTTAGGCTTTCATCAAAACTTCTCTTTGATATCTTCAGCCTGGATTTCTTTCTTTTTAACTCCTAAAAAGAGTTCTTATAATCTAGAAATCTCTTGACTACTGTAAAATCTTAGTCTCTTGTTTTTTTTCAACTATAGTACTATAGTTTCAGCACCAACATGTTCTCTTTCTTCGCCCTCGTCGGTCTTTTCGTCGCTGTCTCCGCTGATGCCTATGGAGGAGGGGGTAACACTTTAAAGGATACAAGATTTCATTCAAATTCTTCAAAACTTTCCATCTCACTCATCCATTCAGTTCCTACCCCAATCACCACCACCTCTGTCACCACTCAACCCCGTCATTTCCTTCGTCCTGATCCTTTCCAATCTTTCCCCCAACAATCCTTCCAACAACAATCCTTCCCCAACAATTCCAACAGGATTTCCAGCCGAGAACTTTCGTCAGACAAGGATTTGTCCCTCGTAAGCTTTTCGAACTTTTAAACCTACGAAACATTTCTAGAGTCAAACCCTACCCAGATGATCTCTTTCCAGCGTCAAGCTCAACCCGTTCAATACCCATTTGGTAGGGGAAAGTGATTGAAGATTTAAAGAAAAGATTTGAAGAAAAAGTTTACGCTAAAGTTAATTTTCAGAGATCTACCAACGCCCACAACCAATCACGAATCTCGGCTATGGTGCCTCATCTTACGGTCTTCCACCCCAGCCTGTCCCTACTTCTTTCGTCGTCCAGGAACAGCCAATCACTGTCTCGGGTAAAAAGATTTCATTTAGAATTTGAGATAAAAAAGTTGAACACGAAATTCCAGGCGGTTTCCCCCAGGCTCTCCTCAAACTCTTCCCCAATCTTTCCAACAAGGATCCCTCTCTCCTTCTGTTCTCTCGTCGATCAACGAACCAACAATGAGCGTCTCAGGCAATCAAATCAGCCAATCGGGATCTACTGGATCCGCTTATGGACCTCCACCAGCAGCTCGTTTGTTTTATACTTAGCGACTTCAGTAGCCCCAAGCACAGTACTGATTTCTAGTCCATTTCTAGACCGCAACTACCCCACTCCATCTCCCCATCTCCTTCACATCAACGATGTCTCGGCTCAATCTGAGGAAATCGATTCGGAAACCCCGAAAGCCATAAATGAACACGGATTCCGTCGTTGGCGTTTGGCGCACAGAAAAATCCGGGCATAATTCGATTCGAATTACATCCTACGATTTTTAGCCTTTTTCCAATCTAGCTTTTGTGTGTATATAATTGAATAAAGAGTTTACAAGACAAATTTCAATTTTTATTTTATTTTGAAATCAAAAGCATAAAGCAGGAGAAAGATCGAGATCAAACAAAAATGCACTTGGGGGAATTGCAAAAGCAAATGAGTTCAAAAACAAACGATGGCATTTTACCAAACTTTACATTCTTTCCGGCAATCATTTTCGATTTTGGTGAACATTTGAAAGCTTGTGAGAATTGTGGAAGATTTCGGAGAACCAGATTGACACTGAATTCAGAGAGATTCATTCAATCTTTACTGATGCAGATAGGATTCCGAATTGGCTTACCGTTGACGATTTGGAGGATGGACATCACCTGGAACGTTTGCAAGAAGAAATTGATCGCTCACCGATTGACACCAGACCTAGAGAAATGGTACTTGTAAAGGATTTGACTCTTATTTTCTGATCACTTTGACTTTGTGCTTTATTTCTGCTACTTATCATTGTTTCCCATCAAATTACGTTTGGCCATGCGTTCTATTAGTAAACTATTGGGTTGGTGAATTGAAAACTGCGGGCTATTGTCATATTTGACAGTTTGAGCACTTTCTTCAAAAGAAACCCATTTTGGTGTCAATGGAAAAGTTGTAGAGAATCAAAAATCAAGCTTATATCCAAATTTTCAGCACGATTCAAAAACTGGTTTTCAAGAAATGCCAAATTTACGAATTTTCACAAAACTTGCATTTTAAGCGAAACTACTAAGTGTATCTTTTTGGAAATTTGGCTATAAGCCTCATTTTTGATTCTCTACAACTTTTCTATTGACACCAAAATGGGTTTCTTTTGAAGAAAGTGCTCAAACTCGGACATCTCCAGTCCTCGATTTTTCAGTCTCACACTTGTCTCACACACAAACCAAACTCCTACCCCAAAACCTCAAAGATCGTTCTCCTCCACGACAACGCGCGCCCTCATGTTACAAAACTGACTCGCTCTAAAATAAACAGCCTTGGTTGGGAACTTTTGGCGCATCCCCATACAGTCCGGACCTTGCCCCTTCTGATTACTATTTATTCCGGACTATGAGTAATGCGCTTGTGGGAGAACACTTCGATTCGGAAGAAGCAGTCAAAAATTGGCTCGAAAAGTTTTTCGATTCAAAACCAAAATCCAACTACGAAAGAGGAATCCGCAAATTGCCTGTAAAATGGGCAGAAGTCGTCAATAATAATGGAAATTATTTCGAATGAATTTATGGTTTTATGTTGAATAAATTTTAGTTCAAAGTCCGGCAGTTCTCAATTCACCAACCCAATAGATCTGTAAATTGTAAGCCGCATATCTGCCATATATGCTAAGAATGAAACATACATAAGCATATCCCATAAAGAACAATTGATTGGGCGAGTATTGGGCGAGCTGGGAAGCGGATGGCCGTTCTCGGCCTTCACCTCGGCGAAGAACTTTCTAAATGAAAAATTTTTGTATTTGTTAGTTATATAGCTTTAGTTTTATAGAAAATCTTTGATTTAAAAAGCGTTATAAACGAGCTGACCTGAAAAGCATTATAAGCGGCGCGGAGTCCTCCATTGTCGGCAATGTTTTCACTCAACGTTTTCGCTCCATTAATCTAGAGAAATTTTTACTTCTCAATTGATTTTTTTGGCGATTTCTTTTTTACCATCAAATTCAAATGATCGACTTTTGTTTTCCCGTACTGATCCACGAAACATTTGGTCATTTTGTTGAAGCTGTTCATCGTTTTCCCGTCCCACCAATCACGGCGATTGCCGAAACCGTCGAATTTGGCGCCTAAATCGCGTTTTTGATCAGTAAATAAGGGGGGTGGGACAAATGCGACCTTTTTTGCGCACCTGGACATTTGCGCACCTAAACATTTGCGCACCTGGACAAATGCGGCCTTTATTTTGCTGGAAAAGGCCTTAGGAAAGGTCGTAGAGCTTCAAAAATGTTTTCATAGAAGGGTCGTATGCGTAGATTCCGAATTTCCGACAAATCAGACCTCGCTGACACGTCAAATTTGGGCTAAAAGGCAAAAACTACGCAACTTAACGCTTTTCCGCAGTTTTTGCCTTTTAGCCCCAAATTTAACGTGTCAGCGAGTCTGATTTGTCGAAATTCGGAATCTCCGCATACGATTCCCTTATATGGAAATATTTTCAAAGCTCTACGGCCTTGCCTAAAGCCTTTTCCAGCAAAAAAAAAAGTGCGCAAAAAAGGTAGTATTTGTCCCACCCCCGTAAATAAGTTATAAAATGTTTTTATTATTTTAAAAACTTTGTATAAACTATTTTTTTGCAGCATCCCAGCCTACCGTAATCATCAAAACCATGTATGTGATCTCGTGGCCGATAATCGATCCCATTGCACCATAATTTTGAGCGCTAGAAAGAATATCTTGGTGAAAACATTTTTTGAGGTAAGTAAGCGGCTTGTAAGCGAAAAAAAAAGCGGAGCATTTTAATAGCTTTTGATTTTAAGGCAAAACCCAACGAATGGGGCAGCTACACGCACTGCGATGAGAAAAGCGGAAAAACGTAGCTGCTCCATTTGTTGACTTTTTCCTTGAAAATCAAAATATCTTCAATTTTCCGCTTTTTTTTTCGCCTGCAAGCCTGGTAGACATTCTTGAATGTTTACTGGATCAAAATGTAAATCCCAACCTTGTATGGAGACATTGAAGTAGGGAGTTTGCAAGATTCCGGCAAGGGATCGCTAAAATGATTATGATGAGAGATTTTTAGAGGAATAGTCATTTTTTTCTGAAATGTGAAGTCAAAGTGTACTGTTGCTGTTTGTTTTGCTGCTAAAGCAAAGTGTACCAATCGAATTCCGACTGGCCATATAGAAAGCATTTGGTGTGGTGGCCAAGAACTCGGAAATCTTCTCGGGAATTCCCTTTCAACAATTTCTCGAAAGCTCGATCCGAACTCCATCGATCATAGGTGACACGGATGCCAAAATAGGAGATCGGTTCGGGGTAGATTAGCCCCTGAGAGATTGATTTTTGGTGCTTTAAAGCCTCCCAAAGGAATGACACCAGCTCGAAGTTGAGAATAACTTCGTGCCCGAGGGCATCTCATAGAATCCCGGCTATGCTAAGGAAGACTCGAACCCAAGCCATAAAACTTCATAGTTCTATAGGCTGACACGCTATCCGCTAGACTATTGAAGTCGTCGAAAAGTTCCCTTGTGGAGGTCTTATGAAGAACTCGAAATTAAAGAGGATTTAAAGAGGATTTTCTATGCCAGATTCCTTACGATTACGTGCTTGTTTGCAGCTAATGTTTACATAATTCAGAATCAAGCATAACATTCTATGAGATGAAGCGATTCTCAACTTCGAGCTGGTGTCCTTCCCTTGTTCGTTTTGTGATTCTTTTCTTTCACACTCACCGTTGAATATTTCTCGGAAACGGCTGTATCTCCATTGAATATCTTCTTGTTATATCCAACAAATTGAGTCATCACATTTGCCTAAAATCTCTTTTTTTCCCCTATTTTCCTTTCCCTGAATAATTTTTTCCTGGCCTCGATTTTCGTCTTTGAATCCATCCATTTATTTCCATTGAGAATTTCCGAGGAAAGCCATCTTGATATTCGCAACGATTGAGTTCACCTTGTCGGTGGTTGCTTGAGAATAGAATCTGAAAAAGAATCTTGGTAGAAAAAAACAGTAATTATAGTACATTTATATCACATCATCCCCCTTCTTGGACACGCGAATCAAAGAAGTGCTATACATAATTTATAGTACAACGTAATTATAGTACAGTAGTACATTTTTTTTTTACTCTCAATGTACAAAGTTGTGGCAACTTCAGGAAATTTCGATATGCCCGCTTTCAGGCAATCGCCCATTGTATCGTCGATGGAAGAGTGCCCAAAGCTTCAGAATTTGTATTGCTGAAAAGAATAAGATCAAATTTTCAAACGAAAATACAAAGAGTTCTAGAGTTTTAAAGCTTTATGGCAAAGCGAAAAACTCCTCACATCTTCAATGTCTTTGATTCGCGGTGTCCAAAAGGGGATGATAATGTTGCCAAGACTGTAAGGTAAACGGTAAGGTATTTTATGGTAAACGGTGGAAAAGCTTTAAATCTAAAAGGCTACAAAATGAAAGCTTCTAAAGATAAATCAATTTCATTTATTTTTCAAATCAAAGCCTACTACAAAGTCACCAAAATCGTCAATTTCATCGCGGGTAAGTCCGGCGAGGAGCTTCGTCGATTTTCTTCACCGCTTCCGCGTTTCGAATGTGGAATGTTGTCTGGAAAAGGGTTTTATGAACATTTTGCTAGCAATTACAAACGATTATTTACAATTTAAATCATTAAATTAATCATCAAATTCCTTTATTCACCTCATCGATATCAATTTTTCTCCAAGATTTCTCGTGGGATCGTCGATTTAAAATAGCGCTGATAGTTCATCTAGAAAATTATTTAGAAATAATTGTTAGTGTTTTTTAAATATGAATTAAAGTTATGAATTTTCAACATATAAACCTGTTTGATAACTTTTGTTATGTCTTTTAATGGCATCGTCATTTCGGTATAATTTGATGGTACATACGAGGGCGAGGATCTGAACAAAAATTTGGGGTGCAAATTCTTCCGAGAATTTCTTCTTTCTTTAATTAATTTGGGTTTAAGTATTTTCTAATTTTGACAAAATTTGAAATTTTCATTTTCTCACCTTAGCCAATCGTGTGATCGACTTTCAGAATATTGGCGACTTTTCGCCTGAACGGCTGTCGAGTTATTTTCAAAGATTGCATGCTAAAACTTTTGTTAAGAATTTTCTTTTCAAAAGCTCACCTCCTAAATCGTCAGTGGAAAAAAGGGTGAATAGATTGATTAGATATTTCTGGAACGGCGAGGAATTGTTGTCGATAGAGAGGAGATGAATAGGCTGACCAGTCTTGGATTGTTTCCAATGGAGCCATCTGGAAAAAACATCAATAGTTGAAAGGATCAATTAGTTTACACTGGGAAATTGTTTCTAGCTTTTGTAAATGATTATTTAAATGATTAAATCAAAATCCAACCAAAATCACATTTTTCGTCGCATCTCGATCATCGGCCGCGACGCCAGAATTGAAGAAGCTGTGTACGGGTGATTGAGGTCAACCAATCGGTCAGGATTTTGCAGATTCGCCGCTTTGATTCGTCTAAACAAAATTTCCACACAAAGAATGCTCGAAATTTCGAGAACCTTCTCAAATCAAAGAAAACATTTGTGCCTAAACGACCGGCTTTCTCGAGATTCGCACAAGAGAAAATGTACCGCAACCCGAGCTAATTGTTCCCGTTTCAAGACTCGCCATTATCCACTGGTTTTGGAGCATTTCGGTGATCAATTCTAGAAAATCATTAATTATTCGTCGAGTTGAAAATTGACTTACGATTATAATTGACGAGAACTCGCGTGACAAGGGAACTTGGATGACTTTGAACCGCGTGGAAATCATTGATCGGATTAGAAGCACCGGGAAAATACAATCTGACAATGGTCCAGAGCGAAGACATTTTGGAGATGTTAGATTTTAATGAAAGAAAGAGGAAATAAGTCCTACTACATATTTTTACGGTATTACAGTATAAAAAAGAATTCTCGCAAACTCACTGATAAAAGTCATCGCATGGGTCGAGTGATGAATCGATCGAAGTCGCCAAGCCTCCATCACTCGCCAAATTTTTCCAGAAAAGTCTCTAAATCTTTTGTTAACTTTTGCAGCCTGAAATTTCTGTATTGTTTCCCAATTTATACTCCCAAACAATCTCACCTTTTGTTGTTCATTTTTTTTCGTTTTTTCTCGAACTCGTTCAATGCCCTCTTTGCGCCTTTCCTTTGAAAGTCAAAATTTCCTCGAAAACACTCCATCAAATGAAACGATTAGAATAAAGAAATAACAAATATACATGCTTTATATATAAAAAAATTTTGGATCTGAATTTGATTTTTGGGAGGCTTTAGTTTACGTTTCCTCCATTGCAAACTTTTTGTCTTCATTAAAAAAAGGTTAAAGATAAACATTGAGAGACGAATCCTAATAGAGAATGTGGGAAGCTGACCACATATTGAACAAAACTAACGAGGACAAGAAAGCAAAGACTTTTAACAATGACAAATGAAAGACAATGACTTATGAATGTTGTTGAAATCTCTGATTATCCGATATTTATTGGTGCTGTTGTTTGTTTCTTCGGAAAACCTGATGATATCAGCGACGACGAGAAAACGGATTTTTGGAAAATTCAAACGTGTTTTACGAAATAGACTCCTTTTGTCTCTGACAAAAGGAGTCTATTTCGCCGTTGTTTTCGGCGAAATAGACTCCTTTCTTCACAATATCGCTCTTTCCATAGGTCACTTTTTATGTCGGGTCAGAGATTTTTCTCCGATCCAATAATAAAATGATGAGCCATCTCTAGAAAACGTTTCGTCATTTCTTTGAAAGCTAACAAAAAACGAACTTTCATTCAAACGTCAGCCTCTTCAAGTAAAACCTAAATTGTTTTTACCCCACAGCAATTCTATACTACTAATTTGTAGTGTATACAAAATTTTATTCTAATGCAAACATCATGTAAAACTATTATGCAAATCATTATCACATTGAAAAAGTACAGGGAAGTGAGCTGACGATTAACTAATAAAATATTAAAGTTACCCGGAATGTTTAAACCCGAAAAGTGAAAAGACACGTGTACATAAAGACAAATTAATTATTACAAACCCGAATGCAATCAATCACTAAGCTAAACTAGAAAAACAATAAAGTCTAAAACTACACTCACTCCTACATAAATAAAACAAAATAAATTCATAGGGATTACACAACTCGAGCACAAACATATTTTTAAAAACATCCTAGTCAAGTCAATGCATTTCACAAAATAACCTTAGCCTCAATACACACTCAGTTATTTATAAAAACTAACCTCAAGTAATAACTCAAAACCGTACGGGTGTGTTTGTTGAACACTTAGCCATTCGTAGCGGCCCATCGATGGCCGTGAGTGTACGTGGTAAGCGGGGTTTGAACTCTCTAAAAAGAACAAGCTAAATTTCGATAATAGGTACTCCTAATCTATCGATTATAATATTCTGGAAACTTTAAATATTGTACTTTTTATTTACGCGTCATAGCATAATAGATGGAAAAAACTTACTAGCTGAATACTCTCATTGTCTTCGATCAATTTGTTGGTTCGATTAGTCGGGAAGCGCACTTGCAAGCCGTCTTCAGATTCCAAAATGCACTCATCTTCGCCTCGTTCTTTTTAACGCACTTGGCAAGATGAAGGACGTCGTAATCTAAATTGAAATCAATCTCTAGTTTTCCACAAATAAAAGATACCTCAATAAAGCTGGATCTCATTAGTTGAAAGATTTGCGGAAATTCCGACCAAACGAGTTTACTCCCGGTATAACTTCCAGTATCTATAAAAAACATCGTAAATGAACATGCCTAATACAAACCTTGACGACTTTGTGGGTAATTCCCCTGGCGCCAAAATTTTTCTTGTAAATGTTTGAGAGAACATGGGAGCCAATCGCCGATGTCTTATAAAACTAAAATTCTAATTTGAATTAGATTCAAACCCAACTAGCCTTCCATTCGGTGGCGGACATTGGAAAACATCCAAATAAATAGCTCCAACGTCGTTACCAAACGAGTCGAGAATGCACGGACAGCGAAGGAAGTATTCGCTTGCGTTTCGTTGGCGCTTACGACGACGGCTCTTGCTTTCAGCTGAAAGTATAGTATAAACATCTAACGTCGCATGATTTGGACGCCACTAAAGCCATAGTTTTAAAATAATCAAAATTACTTTATTTCCATCGATGTCGATTTCCTTTAAAGCTCAGTCCCGAATCTTGAACTTTCTTGAACCAATCATCCCGAAACGTGTTGATACCCGGAGTGTTGTCATTGTTATTGTTGTTGGATGCCGGAGATGTACATGAAGAATCTAAAGTAGCGACAATTAAAAAAACAACATTTCTCACCAAACAACGCATTTGTCTCCAACTTTTACGAAGTTAAAAAGCATAATCATACCTGATTGGAAGTGAGGGGTGGCGCGTTGCGCAGCCATCTTCAGTCAAGCTCATACTGATCGGACCTAAAGTAAAGCGTAAAATTCAGAAATGTTGATAGCTTTAACAATAAGAATAAGAAGTAAAAAAGCTTCAACAATAAGGAAACTTGATTGTTAATGAGTGAGAAGTTTGAGCTGTTATGCTAGTGAAAAAGCGAATGTCCTCTACAACTACAATCTGATCAAGTGGCGTTTCGAATAAAATGAAACTAACAAAAGAATTGTTTACTTCCAACAAACGCGGCTTTATAGTTTGTGTAAGCTGCATTTTGTGTTAGAACACGAGTTTTCGAGATAATTTACTAATCAGTGGCAAGGATTTTCATTGAGAATAGTTTACAGCGCCCGGGTCGAACGAAAATGAATTGAACAAGGGCCAAGATGAAGAAAAGAATTGACGCGGTGACGTTGAAACAAACTGAATTTAAGAATTTTCTCAGTTATATACGTTTAAAGGCTATTCAATTATTTAGCTGAATATTTTAACTCCAACATAAATTGGATTTACTCATTTGAACCACTTGTTTAAAACGTACAGTTTCCATTCGCTTGCGAATTCATGAAATCCGTGTCACCAAAGCTTGAATTTTTTAGCAATGGCATCGGAAATTAAGCTTTCTACAGAAGGGTATTATTACTGTTATTTGGGAAAAGGCTTTCTATTAAATAGGATTTAGATCGGAAGAACTCACGATTCCCGTGAAAGTCCCTGAGCGAAGTCGGCAACTCCTCACCAAAACCATTAACCCAGTGCTCGTCAAGAAATTCCTGAAAATTGTGATGCTCATTTCTTTGGCTTTTGCAGACCTTAGCCACATTGGGATGAGAATGTGTGTCACGTAGACACCAAACATTGTCGAAATCACACCCAATAGGTTGACCAGTTGATTCGATCTGGAGAGTATGTTTCCTGATCGATCAAGTTGTTTTGCAATAATGGTACTTTGCATCTTGTGCAATCTCCTCCCAGGTCATGATCAACAAGACCAGCTGGACGATGATACGAACGACCGGTGACTGCAGAACAACCCATTTTAGGCGATGGAGGTTCTCTCTTAAAAATTTTGCTAGATGTTTAGAGTCTCATAAGTTGTTTAAGAATAACTGCCGTAAATGACGGTAAGTGGGAGTGTTCCGTAGTCTAGCTTTGAACACTGATTTTACCGGTTTAGGTTATAATGTGCGTTAGGTATCAAAAAATAGCTGAAATTCAGGCCTATTTTTGATACCAAAGACGCATTTTTGAAAGCGAATGCGGCTTTTGGAAAAAAAAATACTCAAAAACCTTTTGAGATTACGCGACTGTACGAGGGCGATGGCGTACTATTACAGTATTTTACAATGGGGTACGATATACATAGTAGGACTTGGACTCCGAGCAAACATCGTGAGCAGCAACACAATGGCGGAACATTAAGTCGTATCCGGCGATCCCTGGAAATTTTTCTTTGAAATCAAAGACGTATACGAAAACTAACCGATCTTGAGGCCAATACGAGAATTTCTCCGTTCCACCAAAAGCATTGTAGACCAGACTCACCACTTTATACAAAGAAACCATCAAAATTCTAGAAAAGTGTTTTCGAATCAGAATTTTCTTGATTCAAACAATTAATCCAACCGAATAGAGCAATTCGGCGGATCGAGGGGGAAAAATATTGCCAACTGCACAACACAAAGTGACCATCTAAAAATGAAAATCAGCATCTAACCAGCTCAACACTGGATCTTCATCAAATACCAATCCTCGAGTAATGTCAATCTTTCTTCATCTTCTTTATATTTCTCCACTCACCAACGGTGTTCCCAATACCCATAAAAGATCAGATTGTACAAGATCATCTTTCACATTCATCAGCACATCTCTCAGCATTTTTATCGTCATCCCAAGAATTCGCCAATAAGATTATAAAGAGAAAAACGTTGGCCGTCTTGTAAAAATGTCTGGCATTTCTGAATGGAGAATTGCGAGAAAAGTTTTGAAAAGCCACCATAGTACTTCTCGTTTTAGCATACAATTACGGTTACGATATATTTTAACAATTGAATACCAACAGAATTCCACTCAACAATATTCAATTCAACCAACTGTCCCAATAATCGCTCGCTTCGGGGCTAAATTCGATATATTAAGTGTCCATTATTGTGAATATTTCAAAAATCAGTGATGAGTAAACTTTTTCAAATCGAAAAATAATGGCTAGTTCAGATTTTATGAAGTCTAAGCAGTGAGAAAGAGAATCGTTCTATCAAAAGAAATATCACAAAGGAAAGGTGCAAAATTTTTACGTCTTTTCCTTTTGCGGCTTTTTTTTTCCATCTGGCCTTAAAAACGGTCATGATAAACACATCTGAAATGGAAAGAAAAGGAAAAAAGAAAGATGCAATCATTCTTTTCCATTTTGTGTCATCTTTGTTCTTTGATGCCCTGTGACTGGGGGTTTTTCCTTTGAAAATCACTCAGATCAACTTTGATCAATATTTTCTTTGGAACGAAAACGTGATTCATTTACAGAAAATGCAGTAATCAGAGATTTTGCTGTCAAGACAGCAAACTTGGTGTGTTATTTGAGATATTTCCGATTTAACCCGGTTTAATCCAGGTTGGATTTAAATTTTTCTTTTTAATTTCAATCAAATCTTTATTCCAATCGAATATTCAGTCAATCAACGAGTTTTCACGTTTCTTTTCAAATATTTATTGCCCTAATTTCATTTATCCCATTCGATTCTCATTAAATCGAAATGAAAGCCAGTGCCCAACCGTTTTCTTTATGCCGCAAGTTACATTCGCATTTGATTTACTCCATAGTATGGATCGATCAATTAAAAGATTTTGATAACTAATAAAACATCATGATTCTGGAAAATAGCTTTTAGAGGTTCGATAATCTTGAAACTCAAAAATTATCGAACTACTCTAAAAGCTATGTTTTCAAGAATCATGCTGTTTTTATTAGTTATCAAAATCAAAATTACCTCAACACTGAACTGGTTTGATGAGCAAAAGATCAATTAACTGGATCAGCCAGGCCTTTCTAGGAGCCAGTTGGAACATTTTTATTAGACTCAAAAGGTTACCTTGTGTCCGTAATAGCTAGATTAACCCACTAACCGTGCAACTTTTGTATTGTTGAGCAGAGATTACGGTGGTCAAAAAGAAAATCACTTTACAGCTTTCATTTCTTCAAAAGTTAAATCTCGTAAAGTTTGAAAGCTTTTACAATCGTAAGAGAAAGGATTTGACTTCCCCTTGATTTGATGACGCTTCTCTTAATGAAAATGAAAAGAATCGAGTGAATAATTGAAAATTCTTGGCAAATTGACATGTCTTTTAAAGCAAAATATAATAATAAAAGTGTTTGACATAATTTTTTGTCTTTATTTCTGATAACTCTTGAGTAGATAACTTTATTGTAAATCTTCACACATCACTGTCGTCACCACAAACATCGATGTCGGAACGTTTGGATCGGCCTGGAAAAAAGGAGTTAATTGATTGACAATATTTGAAACCTTGTACACATTTTTCTATTGTAGACTGGATAAAAGATTAAGGTAGCTTGTATAATTTGCCATGTTTTAGAGAACGATCGAGAAAGAACGCACTCTAATCGGTACTGTTAACCAGGTCCAGAAGAGCCGGGCATTTCCCTTCTCTTCCTCCTTCTATTTCCTCTGTCTTCGCTAGCGACAACGTCCGGGATAGCTCAGTGGTTAGAGCATCTGGCTCGAAAGCGAGAGGTCTGGGGAAGGGTCAGGGGTTCGACCCTATCTCCGGAAATCGCCATTCTTTACTTGCTTCTTATTTAGTAAATAAAGTTCATTTTGTTCAAATTCCCACGGAGATATTCCCATTGTGGATCCTCATCGCATGTCAATTCGAATCGATATCGATCCAATTCCCATCGACCACATCCGAGTCTTGCGGTTGTGCACCATTTACCTGAATGACTGGTTGAGCGGCTTTTGTACTATGCTTCAAATCATTTCTTTGTTCAACCCATCAACAATTCAGATCTATTTTAGAATGCACAGAGATGGATATTGGATAGAATTGGGTACTGTAAGTATCCTCATTTTTATTTCCTCACCGAAATGATCACTACCCCATTTTGTGACACTGATGAACACGTGAACGTTCTCAACAAAACACCCATTCACCAACATTGTTGGAATCATTGGAAAACGGCTAAACCTTTTTGAATATAAAGCTGTTGATCACAAAGCTGTTGATCAAAAAACTAACCACAGCAAATCCCGAGGTGTTGAGAGATCAATCGTGATATCGGCTTGGGGTCGCAAAAGGCAAGCTGAAAGAATGGAGACATTTAAAATCAATAAATTTCAATTACACCAGATAAACTCGTTGTGGTCAACAAGGTTGTTGTGGGTGTGGTGATGACTGTGGTCGGGAATGTTAAACTCTAAAAATTCCTGGTTCGAGATTGATTTGAGCTTAGTTTATAGGGTTTTCATTTGGTATTCGAAGATTTTATGTCAAACTCTAGCTAAGCTTAGTTAACTTTTTGAAAGCGCTTTTACTTTTTAGCGCTTTTACTTTTACTTTTGAAAGCGCTTTTTACTTTTCAGCACTTTTACTTTTACTTTTTGAAAGCGCTTTAATAGCCAAGCCCAAGCAGCAGATTTTCAGCGGCATAATTTCATAAGCTTAACGTATTAAACAAATTCAATTTTTACATATTAAATAGATAAAATACGACTATTTAAATGCTATTCGATTACCAAACCGTGCTTGGTGATTCTCGTTGATAAAGTGGTGATGCCAGTGAGGATTTGGTTTGTTGTGAAAACGGTAGAGGGACAAATTGTAACAATAGCTTCGAGTCGATGAAAGAATTGAATCAGGAAAATGTGATAAAAGTACATTTAGATGACTAAAGTCTCGTCAGAAGACATATTTGGGGGTATTTATGATGGAAGAACAATGAGGAAAAGATAGGGTATTTACACAAATGGATCGTCACCCTCTCCGTTTGTCTCTTCGGAGAAATTCGAGATTTCAGTGCTCACATAAAAACTCTGGCTTTTGGTAATCCAATATAGCTTGACTTTTTGATGATCATTGACCATTCAAATTTCTTTATTGATTTGAATCTATGAATCAGAACGATTTCTTCAATGAACAGAACGATGTTTCGCTTGGACTAATGCGTTTTTAACCCGGTAAAGCTACCGTAAACTCTTCAATCCATTCTACTTCTCCGTATTAGAGTTTCACCGTGTAAATCGACTAGGAGACATAGATTATAACTCTTTAGATCTTTAGTTTTGAGAGGGTTTTCATTTCTGAATCAATATTTGACTTTTGCAAGGGATTAGAGGAAATTTTTAGAGAAGATAATATAAATAATATAATATCATACGAGAAATATGGAAATATTTTGATGTATAAAATTTATTATAGAAAGAAAGCTTAAAAAGCTCACCAATTGGTTTTTAAAAGTCCTTTCATGCGTTCACTTTTGCCTTTTAGAATTGAAACGATTACGCACACCAGCAAAGGACACCCGAGGAGCGTCATCGGGACAACTCCTGACGATCCGCGCGAAGACGCTTGCTTCTGAAGGTTCTCCCCATCTATGCGTCGCGTGTCCTCCCGATGACGTCAGGAGCGTCATCGGGACAACTCCTGACGATCCGCGCGAAGACGCTTTCGGGTCTGAAGGTCCCCATCTATGCGCGTTGTCCCGATGACGCCTCGGGTGTCCTTTGCTGGTGTGCGTAATCGTTTCAATTCTAAAGGCAAAAGTGAACGTATGAAAGGACTTTAAAAACCAATTGTTGAGCTTTTTAAGCTTGTGTAGTCTAATAATATTTATTGTTTTCATTATTGTATTTTTAAAATGTTTTGACAAATGTAGACAACAGTTCTAAAGTGATTTATTTTTACTTTTATTATCAAGTTTATTACTAACAATTGTTCAATGCGCCTCCAGAAGGGGCCTTTTCTCTCGATTACAACTCTTTGGTCTTAAAACGTTACACCAACGCCGCCTTTATCATTGATTTAGTGGAATGCTTTGAACTAGTTAAAGGCACTCATCCCGACTCCTTTTTCTGGTCTCTTTAATTCGGCTTTCTACGAGGCGCCTCCAGAATTGAAGGTGGCCTTTTCATACGCCAACCATCCGTTTCTAAAAGCTCCTATAGAGCTTTTTTAATCGAGTTATTAAATTGTGGAACCTTTTTACCCCCCTTATGCTCGTGATATTCCCACCTTTTTAGCCGATTTAATCACTTCCCTTAAGTCGATAAGATCGATAAGGAAATTGTTTTCAAGAGTCTCGAAAACATTTTGTTCAGACGTCAAAACTGAATGACGCTTATTTTATATAGCTTTTACATTCCAATTGTATTTTTCCTCGTAAATTGTTCAATCAAAAAGATGGGGGTGGATTGAGGGAAGGTATCGTCATGACATTTTCCTTCCTTTCCCTTCCTTTTCCTTTCCCCCCTCCTTCTCTTCCCTTTCTTTCCCATTTTTGGCCAATTCCGATAGGAATTTCTATGAGCCTATCTCTTAAAGTGAATCGTTTCTTTTACGCATTTCCACCTCACTTTTGACAATCAATCTGTCAAACCTTAGAAGTTTAGAAAAAAAAAGCTCTAAATTTTTGTGCAATTTCTTTCCCTTTACTGTCAAAGAACTGACACAACTCAGCAGTATTCTTTTGGGCTCAAAAATGGAAACCCACTATTTTCGGCATACAAAATTTCATTTTCTTCATTTTATCGCATTTTTTTTTCTTTTAAAAATTAAAATCACGTGACAGAATAGATGCGTTCTTTTGAATTTTCAAACACAAACACTCCTTAACTAATCATAATGAAAAGCTAAACAAATATATTTACTTGCTTTCCTTGATCAATTTGTATTTAATCAACTTGTATCCACTTTCTCAATACTCAACTCCTTCCCACTTAGCCAATCGGTCATTTCATACCCACTTCCTTCCCTCTCATTCCACTCCGCAGTGACAGAATAGAGGCGTTTTTGAATTTTCAAACACAAACACTTCTTAACAAATCAGCAAACAGTGAAAAGCTAAATATAGCGATAACAGCTAAACAATAACAAAGCTTTGAAACATAGCCAAACAAATAGATTTACTTGCTTTCCTTTGATCAATTTGTATTTAAAGCTTTTCTGTTTTTCTGTTATGAAATTTCCTTTAATCTTCACGTTCTCTTTATCCATTTTCCCCCTTCAAGAAAACCAAAAATTTCTATGACACCATAAGAAAAAAGAAAAGAACAAAGAGAGAATGCTAGAGAAAATGGATTGAATATTTTTTTTTTTAAAGTCATCTAAAAAGGTAGGGGTGGACTAAAAGGCACTGCACTGGACATTTGCGTACCTTTTTGCTGGAAGCTGTCTAGGGAAAGGTCCCAGAGCTGGGAAAGGTTGTAGAGAGCGAAGATTCTGGAATGAACTAAACAGCGACAGGGGAAATAATTTAAAAAAGGCAAAAACTACGCAACTTAACGCTTTTCCGCAGCTTTTGCCTTTTAGCCCAAATTTGACGTGTCAGCGAGGTCTGGATTTGTCGAAATTCGGAATCTACGCATACGATTCCCTTATATGGGAATATTTTCGGGCTCTACGACCTTCCCATAAGGCCTTTTTCAGGAAAAAAAGGTGCGCAAATCGTCCAGGCGCGCAAAAAGATCGCATTTGTCCCATCCCCAAAAAGTCAGCTTATATGACAGTCAGCTCTATCGAAATTTTTTTTTATATCATTAAAGCTATTTTTTTTGTGATTTTTAGTGAAATTTGAACGTAAATCTTTTTAGAGAAAACTTTGTGAGCTACAATTTAGTGAAATTTGATCTAAACGACCTACCAACTTGAGCTTCTGAAGATTTTTCTGGTTAGGGGTGAATATTTTCGTATCAAGAGGACTTTCAACTTTCTTAACCCTTATTTAGTTGAGTGTTTTAAAAAAGAATAAAACAAAATAGCTAAATACATGTAATAATACACCCCATCCCCCTCAAGTACAGTCGCGTAGTCGCAAAAGTTTTTAGTATTTCATTTTTTTTTCAAAGCGCCTGTATTGTGGGTTTGGTATCAAAAAAATAGCTGAAATTCAGGGCTTATTTTTGATACCTAAGCGCATTGTAGCATAAACCAGGGGGTGCGTCGAGAAAAAACTCTGTTCAAAGCTAGACTACGCAACGCTCCGCACCGTCATTATGGGGGTGGGGTACTATTACAGTATTTACGGTAGGAAAATATTTGTTTTACTTTTTGTTTAATTTGAATTTTTCTTGCTTTTCATAAGCTTTTATGCGCTTATTTTATTAAAAATATTGAAATTTAACAATATTTTACAAGTTTTTTTGATAAAACAATCCTCAAATCCTCCACTAATTTTAAAGAACTAATAAAGATTTTTAAAGATTTGTCTTCTCCGTCTTTCCTTTAGCTACTGTCCTTTAGCTACCGTCCCTTAGCTACCGTCCTTAGCTACTGTCCTTTAGACTACCGTCCTTTAGACTACCGTCCTTAGACTACCGTCCTTTAGACTACTGTCCTTTAGAACCGTCGGGCTTGTTTTAGCTGCCGTTAGCTACTGTCTTAGCTACCGTCTTTAGCTACCGTCTATACTACCGTCTTTAGCTACCGTCCTTAGTTACCAGTCTTTAGCTACTGTCTTCTTAGCTACTGTCTTTAGCTACTGTCTTTAGTTACCGTCTTCTTTTAGCTACCGTCTTTAAACCGTCTTTAGCTACCGTCCTTAGCTACCGTCTTTCCTTTAGTTTTTATCCTATTACTTAGTTTTACTATTCAGTTAATTCATCATTTAAATCCTCATCAAATGTAATCACAAATACATTTAAATCTTCATCACTTAGAAATCAAGTAAATCAAGAAACATGCAAAGAAAAGAGCAATAGTTTTCTTGAATTAGCTACTCAAGAAAGCGCATTACCCGAGGAAAACCTGATAGTCAAATAACCGACTATTCCACTTTCATAACACCAAATCAGAGTATTCCCCCATACTAAATCTCTTTCCCCACTCAGCCAATCGGTCATTTCATACCCAATTCTCTCCCTCACATTCATTTGTCTCAATCGGCTCATTTGTCTCCCTCCAAAAACAACCGGATATTTTTGTTCAGCCTAAAGAAAATGCAAAAGACATTGGTCATTCATTTCTCCCAATATCTTGATTTCAACCGCTTCTTTTCTCAGAAGAATCCGCTATGGTCAAAAATTTTTCCGGGATATTTTAAAGGCTTTAAAGTTTCAAATTTAAAGATTTTGTCCTAGTTTTTCTTTATAATATTTGATTTTTTGGTTTTAAAAACAAATTCAGTTACTTTATATCAAAAGGATGTCAAACTTTTACTGAGGATTTCTGTGATTTTCGTGTCAATCGTCATTGTTTTCTGTAATCAAGACGGTGGAGAAATGTAAGTGAAAAAGGGTTTTCGATTTAATCTAAAGTAAATTTAGTTTTTAGAATGAATAGGATTAATGATTTGAGTTTTTTACTATTAGGTTGTTACGGATATAAACCGAGCGTTTTGCACTCGCTTAACTCGTGAGGAAGCCATTTCCCCGCATCTGATCGTCCTCTTCCAATGGTATGGAGATGCTCATCAATAGTAGAATTTGAACATAGAAACTGTTGAGCAAGTTCACTCGTCGTTTGACATGGATTCGATCTTCGATTGCAGCCCTCAAAATATCGTTTTCTACCGCTTGAGGTCGACGAGAGTTCATCATCCTCGAGACTTTCATCATCCTCGAGACTTTCATCATCCCGAGGAGTCCCGAGACTTCATCATCCTCGAGACTTCTCATCATCCTCGAGACTTTCATCACCATCCCGAAAGCGTTAGAACCAGGCTCGG